GCTGTCTGTGTAGACGTTCTACCATACCATTAGCTTGAGGATGGTAGGCTGTTGTTCGAAATCGCATGCAACCTAATATTTTAGTCAGGGCAAAGAATAAGCCACTTTCGAATTGCCGCCCGCGATCAGTTGTTATGGAAGATGGGCATCCAAAGTTAGCAATCCATCTTTCTACGAAGACGCGTGCGACTGTTTCAGCAGATACATCCTTGATGGGTACTGCTTCCGGCCATCGTGTGAAGCGATCGATGCAAGTTAAAATATAAGTATATCCATGGGATTCAGGAAGGGGTCCAACCAAATCTATATGGACGTGTTCGAAACGAGCGTCAGGGAGAAGAAAGGTGCCAAGTGGGCTTTTGGTGTGTCTTATCACCTTGCACTTTTGACAAGCTAAGCACGTTTGTGCCCATTCCCTTACTTCTTTATTAATGCCAGGCCAACAAAACCGACTAGTTACGAGCTTGACAGTAGTTCGAATACCTGGGTGAGATAAGCCATGCAACGTATTGAAGACGTTACGGCGATAACTTTTAGGCACGATGGGGCGAGGAGTACTCGTGGAAATGTCGCATAGAATAGTATCTCTTCCCATACCTAAGGGTTTCTCAGCTAATTGTAGAGTTGTTTTCGACAACTCATGTTGAAGTTCGGTATCTTCTTTTTGAAGACGAGCCAGTTTTACTAGGTCTATGCCGTCGATTTGGGTGAGGGAACAAACGCGCGACAAGGCATCTGCCACAGTGTTGTTTACTCCGGATACATGGCGAATATCTGATGTAAACTGTGAGACGTAATCCAGTTGTCGTGATTCCCTGGGTGAATACTTATCTGAAGGTGAGTTCAGAGAGTACGTCAGAGGTTTGTGATCCGTAAAAATTATAAATTCACGACCCTCTACCGAATGTCTAAAATGTCGTATAGCACAGTACATAGCCAGAAGTTCTCTGCCGAATGTGCTGTACTTCGTTTCAGCTAATTGAAGGCGCCGGGAGAAAAAGGCAAGTGGTTGCCACTCATTGTCAACTAGCTGTTGTAGAACTGCGCCGATTGCAGTGTTTGATGCATCAACCGAGATACTTAACGGTGCCGTTGGATCCTGATACATCAGAAGTGTGGCATTCGCAATAGCTTTTTTAATCTGGGTAAAAGCATTTCGAGCAGACGCGTCAAGTTCTATGGACTTGTTATTCCCTCGAAGGAGGTCTGTCAATGGCTGAATCAAAGAGGCACAGTTGGGAATAAAGCGTCGATAATAACTTACTAAGCCGTTAAAAGTGCGGAGACTTTTCACCGTCTGTGGCTCTGGAAAGTTCAGTATAGCCTCGACCTTAGTAGCCAGTGGGCGAATGCCCTTGCAGTCAATAGTGTGACCCAGGAAGTCGAGTGAGTCAACACCGATTTGACACTTTTGAATATTAATGGTAACACCATGTTGGCGTAACCTGTCAAATGCCAAGTCCAAGTGCCTAAGGTGAGTTTCCTTGTCTGGACTGGCAATGAGGCAGTCGTCTAAGTATGCGTATACAAAGTCGAGACCGCGAAATACTTCGTCAATGAAGCGTTGGAATGTTTGGGCTGCATTCCGAGACCGAATGGCATACGTAGAAATTCAAAAAGTCCGAAAGGCGTAATGATAGCCGTTTTCGGGATATCTTCTGTTGCCATCGGGATTTGGTTATACGCTTTAACCAAGTCGATTTTGGAGAATATAGTCGCGCCGGATAAGGTTGCCGTCAAGTCGTGTATATGAGGCAACGGGTAGCAATCAGGGGTTGTTTTGGCATTCACTCGCCGGTAATCACCGGTGGGTCGCCAATCATTGCTATCCTTTTTCGGAACCATATGAAGTGGGGATGCCCATGGGCTATTCGAAGGTCGAATGATGCCAAGGGTAAGCATATGGTCAAATTCATTCCTGGCGATTCTCAGTTTGTCAGGAGCTAATCGTCGTGCTTTAGATGTCACAGGTTGTCCTGTGGTAATGATGTGGTGCATAACATTGCTGGTTATGCACGGTAGGTCGTTCGACGGGCAATTAAGTTCCGGATACTTGTCAACAATAGGTTGAAAAGTTGGATCAAGGATTGCCTTTATCTTAACGGGTGACAAACTAGGGCCTATGTAGCTGATGCCTTTGATAGACAGACTAGTAGTATTGTCAATCAGTCGTTTTCGGCGGACGTCTACGAGTAAATCATGATGATTAAGTAGGTCCGTGCCAATGATGGGCATTGTAACGTCAGCGAGAAGGAAAATCCACCGAATAGGTTTGCGTAAACCTACGTTCAGATAGACGTATTTCCTACCAAAGGTTGCGATTGGTTTTCCATTTGCAGCCTGTAAGTTGAAGGTAGGTTCCTTCTGTCGATCTGCTGCTGTAGCAGGAAGGACGCTGACTTCGGCGCCTGTGTCGACTAAGTATCGAGTCTGGCTTATCACATCATGGATGTAAAGTAGGCGGCTAGTGCCACCGGCGACGGTTGCCGCTAACGCGTGCCGGCGGGATAGTTTCCCACAGACTTTGAGACATTTCCGAAGTTACAAGGCTTACGGCAACACTTCGCTTCTTGGCCATAGGTGTTGTGGTACCAGCACCAGTCAGGGTTTTTCAGTGAACGTGGTTTGGACTTAGATCGACCACGTGAATTTCGCCGTTGAGGGGATTCAGGACGCCGGTCGGAGGAGTTAGAATGCATGTGTGACCTAAACATCTGTTGGATGGAGTTGCATAACTCTATCATTGCAGGATCCTTACTCGAAGTCTGCTTAGTCATCGAGCATATTTCGGGAACTGACCGTTTAGTTATTTCTAGAGTCTTATCAGCAGAAATAGCGAAGTCATCTATTACAACACCCTGAAGTGTCACAAGTGCGTTGTGCACAGACTGTGGCAGCTTGGATAAAAAGAGTTCTCTAAAAAATCATTATTTACCGCTACAATGGTATTTCTCGATGAGCTGCAAGTGACCGTCGATTCAAGACTGCTTTGAGGCGATCAGATCATTGTTTCACTACTTTTGGTTTCTCCCCTCTGGTAATTAGGTTCCCTAGACCACCTCTTATTGGTTTCATTATCTACGTTGATCTCTTCACGATAGAGACCTGGTTGTCTGGTATTGTGTTCTGAGGTCTGTTTTACCTGCGGCCTGACTGTTCTGCTTCAGTTCTCGGTGTGTCGCAGAATTACCTCCTGTCTTTCCTAGCACTCTTCTTCACGTCTTTTTTCAGTACGATGTTACTGAACTTCGCTTCCCCCTTCTGTTTTCTATCTATGCATTGAATTATCTTCTGTCTTACCATCCTCGTCTCCTTGACTAGCTTCCAGGCATCTGTGAAGAACCATTTCTTGTGTTTGCTCTTCTCTCTGCTTAAAACGCTTGTACCTCGCTAGTTTACTAGCTGGTCCCTGTCTTGCCGATTGAGGACAGTGGCCAGTCGCTGGTAGTTTGGGAAGGCAGCCTTTCTTCCAATGAGTAGGTACTGTAAGAGTTCTACTACGGCTTAGAGTGGACCTATACTCTAAACACCCTTACAAACTTCTTCACCGTTTTGGTGACCTACTAAGCTTAGCAGTACACTACTGGACGCGCAAATACTGACGAACTGTATCGTTGTAAAAAGACTTGATGTGACAAGAGTACCTGGGAGAATTATATTTTATTCGACGAAATATAAAATTCAATAAATAAAGAAGTCGTACAACTTATCTGCAGACGTTGCTGGAGGTAGGCTCGGAGAGTGTGCAGAAAGAGAGCACAACAAGAGAGCGAACCTATGAACGTACGGAAGACCCACAAGTCAAAAGGTAAAACGTGGATCACCGTGGGTGAGTCAGTTTAAACAAAAGTTCAAAGGTACAATGTGCACTACAGGTTATCCCCCCCCTAGAAGGTTGGTGGGAAACCAGCAAGCTTCGATATACAACAGTAGGATGGCTTGGCACAGTAGCAATGGGTGAATGAGAAGGTTTGAAAATAGCAATAGTAAAAAAAAAGAAATTTCACCGAAAGGAAAGAAAGCAAAAGAAAAGAGAAAAAAATTAAGATAAGTTGGAAGTGGTATGTACATGATTAGTGAAGTGAGACGAAATATGATAAGAAATGGCGCTGGTGCCTTGTGTGGTTGTAAGCTTCTGCGGTCTGATGTTTTTTATTTATTTTTTTTTTCATATTTTTATTAATCTTTTTTTTATTTATTTTTTTATTGTATCGATTCATTCTTTTTTTTTTTTAATTCCGCACTATTACAAGCTTACTTATGTGGAGGTTTGATGGTAAACCTCTGGCGCCGAGGCTGTCGTAGCAAGAAGGTGATTCATTATGTCTAACTTTCATATTAGACCAATGCTCCCTTCCTCCGCTTCAACAGAACCTAGCAGTCATGTTAAAGGCAATCATTATACCAGCGTATGATAAGGAGCAGGGTAAAAAAAAAACCAGAAGAAAATGGGAAAGAAAGGTTAAGATTTCAAAATCGGTGTAAAGGTACTACAAAAGCTTGTGCGAAATCAATGCGAGGAAAAGTGGTGCAACTTGGAAGTAGTACGTTAGAATGAGATAAAACAAAGGAAGTTTCTACCCTGTGAGAACTTATAAAATTACAGAGAAGTTAGTACATAACCCATAGCTATGAGTAGTTATCATTACCAAAATTACTTTGTTCATGTTGCTAAGTGCATAACTAAGATGATGCATAATGTTTATAAGTACGGTTCACAAAATAAATGAATTGCGGGAGGGCATAAACCCGAAGGAATATAGTACAGGCTGTGAAAATAAATTGAGCGAATTACTATGTACAGCATAGAAGTGAAGCATTTATGCGCAAAAAAAAAAAATATGTATATCTGTACATTTAACTATACAGTGGAAGTTTTTTTTTTTGTTTTTTTTATAATCTTTTTTTTATTTAAAAATAATTTTTTTTTGTTTATTTATTATTATTTTACATTTTTTTTACTTTTTTTTTTAAATATATTTTATAAAATTTTTTTTTTTTTTTTTTTTCCGACCGTACAAAATGTTTACTATACGATTAACATATTAACCGAACAAATCGAAGCCCATCGACCCGTCCGAATCGTCATCTGATACTGGCTTTTCTTCTTTAACAGGTTCCTTCGCCTTCTCAGGAGCCCCAGATGCAGTTGGGGCTGCAGTTGGTGCGGTAGCTGCTGGAGGCGCCGCCGAACCCATAGACATCAGCAGATCCTTGATGTTCTTTCCACTCAAAGCAGTTGCGAAAAGGTTAGGAAGATACGGCTCCACAAACTTGATATTGGCAGCCTTTAATATAGTATTGATTTTATCAGCTGTGACATCTATGTCGTCATCAGCTAGCATTAGGGCTGCGTAGACACAAGCTAGCTCGCTTTTCGACATCTTGCTAAACGTGAGCTGCAACCTGCCTTAGCCACGAGGGAGCACCACGAAATATAAAATTCAATAAATAAAGAAGTCGTACAACTTATCTGCAGACGTTGCTGGAGGTAGGCTCGGAGAGTGTGCAGAAAGAGAGCACAACAAGAGAGCGAACCTATGAACGTACGGAAGACCCACAAGTCAAAAGGTAAAACGTGGATCACCGTGGGTGAGTCAGTTTAAACAAAAGTTCAAAGGTACAATGTGCACTACAGTACCACTCCTTCTTTCCAAACTTTTTGCATTAGTGGCTTGAGCACATTTACTGTGATTTACGGATCTGTTTGCAGTACTTCAGAGGGAATTCCGTCCGGTCCTGCTGCTTTCGAGTTTTTATGGTATTCAAAACTGCTGTTTCCGTCCAACAATTTGCAGGTAGTGACCGATTAGGATGCTTTTATTTTTTCCTCTCTGATAATGAGGTTTCTTTCATTTCCCTTCATAGTTTTCTTCGCTATCCGAGTGACGATGTTCTTCTCTATTGTGGTGTTTTGAGACGCCTCCCTCTCCGGTTACCTATTCACCTTCACTTGCCTTTGCCGTGAAATTACTGTTTTTATTTAGCGCCTTTCACTCTTAGTTTAGTTTTCGATGTATGTCTTTCTACTGGTTCATCTTATGTATCTCTATTCGTCTGTCTCCTATTGGTTCCCCCACGTGCCTAAAAAGAGCCATTCCTTGTGTTGCAATTTTTAACCTCCCTAAGACTAGGATACAGGTTTACTTAAGCATCACTTCCAGAAAGTTTCCGAGTTCTTAAACGCAGGTTTCCTCAGCGATGCCACGTAGTGTTTCCGACTTTGCTCTGATGGTTTCAGAGAAGTTGCCTCTTGTGGTTGTTTCCTTAGTTTCTCAGTGTAGAAATTGAACTTTAGTCTACTCCTGTGTGCTTTGAAAGCTTTCAACTTGAGCCTGAGGGTTCCATGTAACAGATAATCATCTGTGCCCACATCTGGTCACTTCGATTATGTGTCTACCAGACTGCGTCCCACTTTCTTTAGATTGAGATGATGTTCTCTGATTTTAGTGTATCTGTTCGGCAGAACCCATATCGTTTTCGCATAATCTGATGCTTGCACACGACTCCTCCCATTCACCAAATCATTGAAACAACAGCATTCTGCGAAGAGACCCGCGTTCGCATAGAACTCTTTATCAATGTTAACTGGTGATTTAATTCATGCGATCACTTCTTCCTTACATCACTTGGTCACGACAATATTGTTAACTTTGCTGCCCGTCTTGGTAAAACACTAGATCTAGTGTTTATCAATGATGTTGGTATATATGAATCTCTCAAACGTGCTCCTTTACTTAATTCTGACCACTGCATCATACGTGTACTGCCTAAAATATATTCCAAATCACACAAAGGTGTCCTCTCTCACCTCTACAGTAAAGTTCAACGGAGATGGTACTCACAAGACAACCTAAACAAGCTCAGATGCATGTTAAAAGACACTAACTGGGACTTATTTACAGAACAAACATTAGATGACACAATCCAAAACACTACTGATTATCTTAAATTCTGTTTCGAAATATGTTGTCCTAAAGAAACATTATTCATTCGATTTGACAGTTTCTCTTCTCCATATCTCAAAAAGCTACGTAGAGATAAAGAACTGAAGTTCAATACAAATGATAAGTCAGGTGTAAAAAAGTTAAATGGTCTGATAAAACTCGAAATGCAAAGACTAAATGGTTTATATAATCAAAGATTTTTGTCATGTAAAACCCCTTCTAATTTGTGGAAACTTTTCAAAGAAATTACTAGAGGTAAGCGATGTACTTCTGTCCTATCTCTTAATGTTGACACTCTTTATATGCCTTTCATACGCTCTTCTGTCGATATCCTTCCTAATAATACAAACCATATAGACAATAATTTTAGTGGTTTTAATACCCTTGATGTGCTTAAATGTCTCCGGTCTCTTAACCTTTCACAAAGCCTTGGTCCTGATGGCGTACCTGCCATTGTCCTCAGGAATTGTGCTGATATTTTGTGTTACCCTCTTACCAACATTTTTAAGGCTTCCTTTTCCGGTAACGTTCTACCTTTTGCGTGGAAAAACATTAAAATTATCCCCATTCCTAAAACATCTTCTGGTACTGATATTAAATTTAGGCTTATTGCAATTACCTTACCTTTTTTAAAATTGATGGGAAAATTACTTTTACTTCGTCTTGAACCTTCACTGAAAACTTTTAATGATCCTAAACAATTCGCTTACAAACATTGTAGGAATACCTTGGATGCTGAGGTTGTCTTATATCACAATGTTGTTTCTTCCTCAGCAAATGTGCCAAATATGTTTATAGTGCTTTCCTAGACTACACTTCTGCTTTAGACTCTGTACCTAGGTGCCAGTTTGTCGTAAACCATCTTTAGTCTTTCACTGAACTTTTATCCAATAATTTGTTCAGTTCGCCGCCTAAGATGTCTATACGGGATTCTTCTATGTAGTTTTCTCAAAATTCCTGCACGCTTCCACAAGTTTCCCCAATGACTCTCACTTTACTTTGATAACTGCTGTGAAAGTTTTGTTTACAGCTTCCTCATTCAGTTGCTGAATGTCAAACTCACCAGCTACCTTTCAGGAGTTTCTAAATGAATCTTAAAGGCTCCTCACACTAGATAGTGAACTGAACCCACCTCTGCTTCTCCTCTCGACCCTGTGTACAATAAAATGTCTTCATATTCTTCAGGTTGACCTATTTATTTGATTTTGTGTCCATTTGGTGAAATCAACGTCTCATTTTGGTCCCAATAAACAACCAAGTACAACAGAGGATAGCAAGACTTCCGTCTTCCCCCAGAAATAACCTCATGTGGCCACGCGTCCATAACATCTATCAGCTAAGTACTATCCACTACCTTCATTCGGCCACATCGTCATCCTCACAAAACAAAAATTCAGAATTCCAACGTCTGGCGCCTACAATCCGATTGACTGGTGAACATCTCGATCTACACCCAAAACAGCTGGAAAACCATGATTCCAAACCTATGGTGCACATCCATGGGCTCCACAATCCAAAAGCATAGAATGGAAGTATGAACGTGTTTTGGTCACCGGAAACAACGGGGATGCTGCTCGACTGCCTTGTGGTGTGGACACTTCAAACAACCACTTGCTTCAGTCCTAGCGTCCAGGGGATATCCCCACTGGTGCAAAAACGACGGTATTCTCCTTTACTGTTCGCAGTTGTTCAAACTGTTATTTGGACAGTCGACATCCGTCCTATCTTCTCTTACAGATTATAAGCACTTCTATGCCATACATTTCGCATCACCATCTGATTTACCAATTTCAAACATGGCGCAGATATACTATGTCCCCAGTGTTACTCCTGCTTACACCGACAGAAAATACCCAAAGGAATAGTTCACGATTTTAATTTGCCAGCATCATCAAAATGAGTAATCTTTCCAATTCCAGCGGATTATTAGTTTGTTCCCTTGCTTTCGCTCCTCAGTGTTTATGGGTGCATTTTTTGCAGGTTCCTATCGCCAACCGTAAGTCTAACCTTCGTTCATTTCCAGACACAGGATTAACCAGTAAACTTGGGGCGGTATAAGAGGTATCACGGAAATGAAATGCGAGCAAATAACCAAAAGACAACTTGACCTGGAATCTTGTTTTGCATCACACCTTCGTTTCAGATTCCTTCATCACTAGCGTAATCTGCAAAGACAAGTGTTTCAGACGATCTCGTGAACACAGCTGCAGTATACACAGCTTCGAAGTTTCGGTAGTGATAGTGCTGCTTAGCTTAAGCCCAAAACACTTTCGGCCTATTAAACTAGATAAAGTTAATTCAAACAATACAAGACTTTCAATTACGTATTTATGATAATCCACTATAACTATATCAAAACGTAAGCACACTACAGTTTTATAGTATTAATAACAATTTACTACTTCACAAAACATTCAAACTTGTCATCTGAACAGACAAGTTGGACACAAAATATCAGTGCTTCGTTAGTGAATTAGGACTTTTCTAGTGACTAAAGTATCGATAATTCACAAAATCGATGGACATTTGCAATCAGTTTAACGTGCCTTACGACAATGTATGGATAAAATTGCTACTGATTTTCGACATGAATTGAAAACATGTATCAAATCTGCTTCAAGATGTGGGAAGAGAGGGACTTCGTCGTTAAGCAATCGATACATGGTTAAGATATGATCAATACACCCTCTTCCTGGTCTAAAGCCTACCTGGCTCTCTCGTGTTTGTGCCCCCGATCACCACATAGTCTACGCATGATTATTGAGCCTAGAATGTTGGACAACCTATTGATCAAGCTAATCCCTCTGTGATTACCACAGGAAGACTTGTCTCCCTTCTTGTATATGGGGATAATCAGTGACTTACACCAACCCGATGGGACTTCCTCTGATTCCCAGACGCTGTCTTATACCTTAGTTAACACAGACAGTAAACTTTCTCTACCGTCTTTTAACACCTCTGGAGTCATTCCATCAGGTCCCCTTGCTTTCCCTCGTTTCATACTAGATAGAGCTTTTGTAATCTCATTTATGGATTGAGGACCTGTGTTTATTTTCCATTCAGGAAGGTCTGGGATGCTGGTTAAGTTGAGCATGGCTGTTGACCAATTAAATTGCTCATCAAATTGTTCTTCTCAACGTTCCCGTCGTCTATCCTGAGAGGTAATTATGGTTCCACTTTTCTTGGAGATTGTTTCACTTATCATTTGCTTTTACCACCTGTTTCCATAATAAGTTTAAATAGTTGTCTGGTGTTACTAGTCGCCGACGCCTTTCCCATCTCTTTCGCTCTTGTCGCCCACCACAGTTCATGGTCATTGCGAAGACTTCTTGTTAGTTTCCGTTTGGGTAGCTTTCGCTCCTCATCATAATCGAAGCTCACCGGAATCAGTCCTATTGCGTCATTCAGTTCGGATGAGGTGGTAGAAATCCAATGCCTCTTACTAAATTTAAGTTTCAGCCTATTAACAGCTTTTACATCTGTGTCTACAGCTAGCTGTATGTTGTGCCAGGCTACCTCAGGGGAAGTGCTGCTTTTGACCTCAGACACACGTTTCGTCATTTCTTCCTTAAATAGGGATTCATAGTGTCAATCTAGTTGGGGAAGTAACTGTTTTGCTGCCAGCAATTTATTATGTCCATTTAGTCGTAAGCATAAACGTGCACGAACCAGTGTGTGATCAGAGTCTACGTACGTCTTCCAGAAGGAGCGACAGTCTTCTGCTGACCCTCGCCAACGATACCCTATGGCCGTCTTTCTTTCTTTCTTTTAACGGACCTATTCAGACGGACCGCACACATACGTCTATCTACTGCGATCCAGTCAGTAGGTGATTTTTCCGCCGTAACACTCAGTGTTATCCCTACACCTGTGAGTCTTCGAAAGCTAGCTGAGGGGTCTCCGGACACTCTTAAAGTGAATTTTTCAGATTCACCTTATGACCGGGTGAGGTTAAATGAATGACCACACTCGGGTCTTGTATGAGCGTCTCCGAGACACAACATGGATCCATGCGTCAGGAAGTTAAAGTTCTTGCTAGTCTTCCGACTTGGAAGAGGGTCCTGACGTTCAATGCTCCTATATGAAGTTGGCGATGTGGCTTTAAAAGGCTATCTATCTGGGGTGTTTCAATGGCTCTCATCGTTATTTGTGGTCACAGAGTCAATTGAAGATGACTCGCTAGCCTGCAGAATTCTACTAACTGTAGTAGGGGAATACGGTGATGTGGATAGAGGAGAATGTTGCTCAGGAAGGCTTCGTGTGCTTTTGGAAGTGTTTGGGCGGTTGTTACTTCCCGGCTGCCCACACCGTGGAAGTTGATTGATTCTTTGGGTATCTGAAACAGAAAGAGAGTTAGTGTTGCGTGACCACTGAGCCCAGGGGACAACTGCTTGAGGCCGGTCACACACGACCTGTATGAACTGGTTTCTTGGTTCGGTTCCATATTAGTAAACTTACCGCTGGTTACGGACCACCGTAGGGTAAGTCGAGATGTACAATTTTTGGGGTCTACCTTTTCTAACTCACTTTCTCCAGAGTGGAGAGACAGCATAGCTAGCATCCTGGTCATCTGAGGGAAACACCTTATTGCTGCTACATCCTTGTTCCCCAGCAGTACGACTTCGTCTTCAGACCCCCCAGCATAGTGTATGAAAGATTCTTACACAATGACGCTAACTGCTTTTAGTCTAATCGCTATCCTAACAACCTTCCTGGCTTGATAGGACCGGCAGGAACATTTGTTCAAGCCAGTGTAGCTTGTTGATGTGCAAGCCCCACCATCACGTCAACGTAGCAGCTATCGGTCGGGCAGACTGACGATGAATCCAACAAGAACCACGGAATCAATTCATGCAGCAATAATTCCATACTAGTTTCTTTATCAGATGTTTCACACAGTGAAATAGTATTATTTACCGGATGACGTTTTGAACAAATATTTATTGTTCATAATCATATCAACTATGCATAGGAATATACTACAGCACCGATGATCCAAGACTGCTAGGCTTTTCAGGAAGACTCGGATTCTGAATACAAACTACGTAACAATTTCGGTCATGACATCATGTCGACGGCAGTAATGAAAACATACAACTTAACAAGAGAAGTCTACAGAAGTATAATAACGTTGTCTGTCAAATAATTAACTATGAAGAAATATTTCTTCATCAGGAGGAAACTAGAGACAATTAGATATTACAGTTCAATTCAAGAATTACTGCCCACAGATTGCTCTATCTTCACAGCAGATTTGTCTTAATAAGAAAATATTGGTAATTCATACCATATGATTCACAGAGGTGATAGAAAACCTGAAGTAGCGTCACTGATACTCTACGACTTTCTAACTACTGTCAAACATTATCACATCATTTGAAGTGGATACGTGAAAATCACCGCTTGTTACAAAGTCATCATATAGAAACAAGATAAATTTCAAAGATAATTTCTATTATATTTGGAAGGATTTGAAATTTTTCATTGATATCTAAAAAATGGGAATAAAAAGGGTTTTTTGAAACATAATAGTGATAAAGGATTTTCAATACAATGGATAGGGTTGTTCGAAACAGTGAGGTAATCTGCAATTTCAGAGAAGATAGAGTTGATTTTTGAAAATAGAAGGAAATAAGGATTGATCACTGCTGAGAACTTTTTACACCATACAAAATGTGAAGAGATCGAAGATCATCGGAACAACCTCGAAAATGAGTCAAGCGCGTGTACGATCGTCGAACTTGTAGAAGAACTGGGGAAAAAATTTGAATAATGGTTAGGTTGAAAGTAACACCGTGAATTTATTAAAAAGCCTACTAAAAATCAATAGCACTCACTATCTACCAGATGATAATCTCATTACAAGTTTAGTGTAATGAAAATGAAACAAATATGCTCTTTCCACAGATAGTGAAACACCACCACTAGATTTCAAAATGAAATGGAATTACTCACGGCTGCATCAGGAATTCTTAACGCAAACTAATAACACGTGAATGAAGAACGAAGAACTTAGTGGTAACGTTTTGAGTGTAATTTATCGCTCATAATCATATCAAGTCACATAACTTTCCAACTTCCTTTATACGATTCCACTACTTCTCATCTCTTGATTTGATTGGTAGTAGAGGGATATTAAAACCTACAAACTCACTCAGAAACAAGCTCTGTAGGTTAAAGAACCCTGTCGACCCAATTAGACAGAATATTATATTGCACAAAATACCTTACAATCAATATGAGTTACGCCAACTACATAGGTCAAACTAGTAGATCGGGTGTAGTCAGATTGTCAGGACGTAAGAATTTAGCTGAGGTAAGAATGAGTCAATGGCATAGCGGTAAGGACGCTCGCCGACCATGCACATGGTCCGGGATGCGACCATAGGCCGACTCACTCCTTTACCTCTCTAAGCCAGAGATAATGCTGGTAAAGAGGAAAGGTTGGGTATGAGGCTAACAACCCCATCCTGTAAAATAAACACTTCTACAGAAACTTCAAGCCAATAGCTTGAAGCCCTATGTTCCACTGGGGAACGTAACAGTAACTTAAAAATAGTAAGCTGAAGACGATTCCAGGGAACAGGTAACGCTGAAATGAGTCAAAGAAAACACAAATCTCAATGCATTTCATTAGATCTGGTATTGCGGCTCCCTTGTGTTATGTACTCGTCGCTAAATTATTGTTATGGACTGGTCGAGAAATTAATAGTCCTGACGCGAGAAGGCGGAAATCAGAAGACCACTAGGTTTGCGATGATACTTCTATTGTCCAAACACAAGGAGACGAAAATAAAATGGTCTCACACCAAAGTGGTAAGTAAGTAAAGTAAAGTCACAAGATTGTGAATGCGAAATATATATGAATGTTCCAGACAAAGCGTGGGACAAATCATTAGACAGTCTTAACATGAATGGCTAATTATAATGGAGTGTCGATCCAAATATACATAGCGAATATAGCAGACATGTCAACAACCATATATGGATATATGTCACTAAGCAACGGACTGTCAACAAACACTCATATTATATATAATATAAATGGAATATACATTGTTAAAGGAGACAGGTTCATACAAGTGAAGTGGTCACAGACTAACCGAGCAAACAGAAAGAGAGACCAACATACACACACACATAAATATATATGTGGATACATATCACCTTGACAAAATCTCTGTCAAATATCGCACTCTGAACTACTACCACATTGGTGTTGACTCATCCAACAAATCTGATAGGAAAGCGAAAAATACTGCTCACCCTATTATGCCACTCCACACAGGAGACAGAACGCAGGTACCTATAATCATCAAAGACAACCAGCCTTTTCATGTCTTCCCGTCTCAATAGCCATACCTCACAGCCATAAATTGAGGACGGAGGGGACTGTTGAGCAGTACACCCGTCCTTTGGTCGATACCCGGATATCACGTCTACGCCAGAGACGGCGTAAACTGCCATATGAGAAACTAGCCCTCTGTATCCGTGATGAAATTTCGCCGGAGATCATCCTGTTGGGGCTGATAGTACTTCCCAAATAAGTAAAATGGTCAACACGCTCTACCACACTTCACTCCCTATTTCTAAACTCGGAGTCGCTGTAGTCCAGTCCTGTAACGTCATCTTACATTTGACAGCAGAAGCGAATCGCATGTCAAACATTCGTAGATTGCAGCTCAACGTGTTCAGAAGACTCTGCATTTTGTCATCATCTTCACCTAGAAGGACTTTATCGTCTGCATATTCTAAGTCAACGAGACTATTATTCCCCGATAACAAGTCTACCTCTGAGTCTCTGAAGTGAGTTAGGGTTAAGTCCATCAGTACATCTATGATGAGATTGAATAGAAATGAGGACAGTGGGCATCCCTGTCGGACACCATTAGTTGTCACTAGTTCAGATGACAGCTCGCCGTAAGCCCTCACCTGGATGCATGAGTTCGAGTAGAGTTCCTTGATCAGTGCAATGTATTTTCTCGGAATTTCCTTTACAGGCAAACATCACCAGGGTACCTCTCGGTCGACAGAATCGAATCCCGCCTTCAGCTCAAGAAATACATTGATTGTTGGACGCCGGTACAAATACCTAAGTTCTAGAATCTGTCGAAGGGTGAAGATATGATCAATACACCCTCTTCCTGGTCTAAAGCCTACCTGGCTCTCTCGTGTTTGTGCCCCCGATCACCACATAGTCTACGCATGATTATTGAGCCTAGAATGTTGGACAACCTATTGATCAAGCTAATCCCTCTGTGATTACCACAGGAAGACTTGTCTCCCTTCTTGTATATGGGGATAATCAGTGACTTACACCAACCCGATGGGACTTCCTCTGATTCCCAGACGCTGTCTTATACCTTAGTTAACACAGACAGTAAACTTTCTCTACCGTCTTTTAACACCTCTGGAGTCATTCCATCAGGTCCCCTTGCTTTCCCTCGTTTCATACTAGATAGAGCTTTTGTAATCTCATTTATGGATTGAGGACCTGTGTTTATTTTCCATTCAGGAAGGTCTGGGATGCTGGTTAAGTTGAGCATGGCTGTTGACCAATTAAATTACTCATCAAATTGTTCTTCTCAACGTTCCCGTCGTCTATCCTGAGAGGTAATTATGGTTCCACTTTTCTTGGAGATTGTTTCACTTATCATTTGCTTTTACCACCTGTTTCCATAATAAGTTTAAATAGTTGTCTGGTGTTACTAGTCGCCGATGCCTTTTCCATCTCTTTCGCTTTTGCCAGCCACGACTGTTCGCAACACAAATGTGCAGTCAGTCGAGGCTTCCATACAGGTCAGAAATTTGTACCGTGTGGTACGAAAAGGATATCTAATAGGTTGCAGGCTTTTGTCAGCGGCTAACTTTGTTGGCACGATACTGAATATCAAGTTGCCGGCAAGAATCAGCAACAAGAATACCTGGCAACATACCAACCAAAAACCGGTCGCTCAACAAATATGTAAGAAGAAACGGAGATAGATCGGGCAACGTTGAGGAGGCAGTCGCATGACATCGCGCACGAGGTGTCTGAGTAGAGTCCCAATGGGAAGCGACCAATGGGTCGTCCTGGGGTGACGATGAGGAAATTGTGCGAGGAGATGAGATATTTTGGGCAATCCTGAACCCACTTGGATAGTATAATAGAAAACAGAACAAAATGGAAATGTGTTATTGAAGCTGTATGTTCCACTCGGAACTCAAGTGAATAGTAATACACTAAAACTCAGAAAGATAGTACTTGTCAGAAAGAAAAGCTTATTTTTGTCAAAAGAGTTCTTGAAACACAAACGCAAGTTTACAGAAAGTTGATTATCGAAGAGACATCCACGACTGTTATTTGTTAATAGTTGTGCATAAATATAAGCAAGATTATACTTAAAACTAAAGGAAACGATCACTTATGTAGCAACAAGAAACTTACCATTTATATAAAAAATATAATTAAAGACTTCTTCGCAAGTCATAATCAACGGTTACTGCAACACTAAAACATCCTGTGTGTTTTAAACTTTACGCCGAAGTTGCGAACGAAAGTACGAAAGAGAAGAGAAGACTTATTTTATATCTTTGTGTCCATTGATGATGACAGTGAATTAGACAAAAAAAGTTGGACTGATGGACTAAATGCATCAGATCTTTTTTCATTGAATGAAAATGCATGCATTCTTTATCTAATACAAGTACGCAGTGTAGCTATACAATCTATAGAATGATAAAGAATTTTTTTAACATTCTTTTTATGTTAAATTATTGTTTTCGTCCACAATCAAATTATCAACCTTCATCTCCTCTTCTGCATATAATAGGAAAGATAACAATACAACATAATATGTCTCGCTCTAGAGGTACACTCAATATAATCCTATTATATTCCTAGACATGGCAATAACCAATTTGCACAAATGAAAATGCTCCATTCAATGCAGCATACTAACAGGGAACTTAAAAGAATGAAATACAAACGACTGCTACGACTTAAGTTATGCACAAAACGCGTAAGTAGGCTTACTTCATCACAACATCTTGAAAATCAATAATTTGGTCTTGTGTTGCTTGAACCAAACCATCTGTACGCACTACTGATAAACGTGCCACTGCCATCTTTAACCAGTTTAGAAACATCTACGCACAAGGTAAAAAATAAAAAACCATAAGATGTGACATGAAATCCAAGCATACATTATTAGAATTACAGTTAAATAAGACAACTGGATAATACAATCAGAAGCCTGGCATACTTTACTATATACGATAAAATAAAAAACAATTAATTTCTCGACTCATAATTTTAATGTCGAAAACGCTGACTAACATGAGTACAGAAGTATTTGCTTTAAATGTATTGTGGCAACAAAAGGCAAGACACTGAAATCAAGGTGTATTTTACATTGAACGACGTGAAATAGAATGGTCAAGAATACATAGTATTCTGTTGCTAACGCAGTAGTGAACTGAGAGAATAATATTCTGACTCTAGCAACAAACAGAATGTGCAGATAGATAATATCGTATTGTGTTGTTAATGCCAGATTGAACTGCAGGAATATGTGAGAATTATATTCTGTTGGCACACACCGTCTGTATCCCACCACCACAATATAAACAAACGAATGATTGTTACATAACAAGTCATACCAGACAGACGGATAGACAGAATATTATTTCCTTCAAAACCACAAACAAGCCTTCCTGAAGTGTCCCAGAAAACACAGTCGGAATGTTGCCAACTGAATCTTTACACCTCCCATTAAATTCAAACACCGCATTTTGTGATCTTATCTAATGGACTGCTTTAACAAGAACTACACAGTAATATTGACTATCAAATAAGAATCATTTTGACCCAAACGGTATATCAACAAAAACCATGCATCAGTATACACAGCCAAATTTTTAACACTATCGTATAGACAATATAAATACAGAGCATGAATCTCCTTTCACTACGATCGAAAAGCCGTAGACTCCGTTAACACAAACTGATGACAGTGGGCTGAATGCAAGTACTGATACAACAACGTCAATTTTAAACAGTGTATTATTATAACGAAACTGCTGCAGTCTGTAATCGGAATCACCAGCATACCACAATAATTAGTCGTCTAGGTATCACAAGTTCTACTCATATAAATCCGGAAATTCGATCCACTATGATCAAAATGATCCATAAAAGTTAAAAATGATCATAATAGTGTTCAAGGACAAAAAGTGAGCAGACAGAACACTAATACTGTGTGAGAAACTAAAGTTAACTAACAGTAAAAATAAGCAGCCGAGTTCCAAAGCAGTATACGTATTTACCACATTGACCTGATTTATTGAAACGAAGAGGATACCGTAAAGTAGATAAGGGAGACCATGCAACATTTTGTTTTATAACTTACCAGTACTAGTACCGACCACAAAGTCTTAGGTACTACGTTAGTCACGTTGACCTTCCTGTGATGATCACAGGAAGCACATACCACATATAGTATGTTAATTGCTTTAGTCAACAATCCATAGTTAGAACAAGCACTGAAAATTGAGTGAGTTCGAAAAACCGCAAAGACTGCATTACCCGCACATTTTGTCAAATAAAAGTAACAGGCACTATAAAGTAAAGCATTCAAATGAAAAAAAGCAAAATACATGCTTACTTCATGATTTGTCATAACTTTAAGATGATGTAGGATATCGGCCATCTCATGAATTCTCTCATCCATCAACCCGAGACAACAAGCCTGAAGTAAAGCTGCAACCAATCTCTGACCACCGCAGTAATTGTCCATATCGCTAGGACTCGTGGAGTATGTAGGCTTAGAATACGTAAGCCATACGATGACGTTTTGAGCAGCCAGAGCAGGTTGACAAGATGGGGTTGGAAGTTGCCTGCCAGAAATCAAAGTCTGCGCAACTTCCATCGGTGTTTGCTCACAAGCTTCACTAGTGAATATAATTAGTTCTATGAAAAATCGAGCAGCAGCAGCTGAAGCGCTAGTGGAAGCTGATGTTGAACTTGATTCATCATCGTTAGATGTATTCAGGTCAGGAACGTCATCACTGGATGACCCAGCACCGGGGCCAGTACAACACAAATTTAATGACAAAACTGCAGTATCACACAATTCGTTTAAGCTGATTCTGTTACTAGTGAGAAAAACAGCAGCGCAATGTTGTACAAGTCGAGTACACAACCGAAATAAATCCTCCACGGTGTGAGGCTGTTGGCTGAGCCCTGGACCAGAAAGAGATTTCAGCGTTGGCGCGCTTAATGCCTAGAAACCATGACAGATAAAAGCAGTATAAAAACGAATACTATGCTCATAAAATGACTGACGCTGAATTCCACCTTAGTACAGGGGATGTCAAAAATCAGCTCTAATTGTAGCTCCTCAGGTCAGTGCACAAATCATATATATATATATATATATATATATATATATATATAAAAACCTGAATAGACTATATAGTAAAAGTAGCTAATGCTTCAACAGCAAATGTGTGTTCTTATGTGCTTCTGTTTATCGATAGAATACATAAGCCCACAGTCGATAAGGTTGACAGTTAATTTAACGCGTTTCTGAGCTCTTGAGACTTTGCATCAGTACTAAAAGGAGAGTAAATTAATAAAATGGATTCTTCAGTTGACAGACATTTGTTTGTTGTTAGATGATTTGAGGCAGTCGACAGGAAGCCTTGTATCTAGGTTTCGTGCTTCTTGGAACTCGTCAGCAAGGTACATTTGGCATCTTGAAGGCACTCATATTCAATCAAAGTCGTCATTCGCTTGTTGTTCGACACAAAAGAATATCGGAAAAATCTCAAAGCGAGTGTCACTTTACAATCTACTAAAAAAAATCATCCACTCATGTTTGTCTTAGTCCCATTATTTTATATACCCTCAATTGTGTGCTTTCTCGCAAGATGGTAAATTAAAATGATGTATTTATGTGCAGAGTCCCTTCTGAGTAAACTTTTCAGTAACATAAACTGAGGTTTCATGAGGAATACTGAAGCTTAAAGAATACCCAATCAGTTGTAGTGGGAATATGGTGATTCCAACTGTAAACATGTTCAGACAGTAATGTGAACTTGACCCATAGTAGTTGTCTACCACAATAGTTACTTAGACAGCTATTCATTTTCAAAAAGTTTTGATTTCAGAAAATAAATGAGATCTATTTATCTTATTTTTATTCAACTCAATTGCTACTACAGGTTAGAAATGAATTGCTTATGCTTCTCAAACACATAACTGGGCAATAAGTATGCGCTGACATAAATACAAGGGAACAATATGATTGCGATTGGAGAAAAACGTGTGAAACACATGATCATTCGAGTTTGCCGTAAAACAGGAAAGCACACTAAACATGACGCTGACATAGGGACTAAGAAGCTAAAAGAGAATGTTGACATCGGTGATAGTGATGAATGCAATGCAAAGTCATCAGTGAGGACTTACTGACTTGAACAAGTACGACAAGTAAATGCATCTGCGCCAGTGAGAAGGATTTTGAACCATTTTACTTACAATCTCGGCACCCAAAGGAACACAAAAACACAGTCTATACCTTCCAACATGGTTCAAACCAACAATCAAACACTTCTTGGATAGATACAAAGTCTGTGATGGATCACCCCTCATTTATTTTTACACCTAATCTTACGTCAGCTAACATTACTCAAAAAGGTAGGCAACAGATTGGCATGCGGAACACGTGTCCTGGCTGTCACTATCGATGCAGCTGCACAACTTAATCTATTGACTTTCCCCTTCCCCAAAAAGGCTCTAAGCCTAACATTGATATTATTCACCATACTATGACAGACACAATGCAAACACTTTTGTCAGTGACAGCAGGTTTGTTCAAGTCTTCCACTTTCAATAGCAGCGAATCGCATGTCAAACATATTAATACTTCTGCTCAAGGTGCAGGAGATTGAATTTTGTCAACAACTTCGCATCACCCGTGCACTCTAGATCTACGAGACTATCTCCTGGAAACGAGTGATTTGAGGTACTCCATTCATGGCTATAGAGTGCCACAGCACTACTCAGTCGACGGAGTCAAAAGCCAGTTCTAAGTCACGAAATACGACAAATGTTGACGTTGATAGGTATCTCTGTTCTAGAATATGTCCTTGGGCAAAGATATGATCAATAATCCTTTGGCCGCGGGTAAAACGCATATGGCTTTTACAGGTTTGTTTCTTCCAAGCACCACTCAATTTACGCAAGCCTACTATTGCTCATGGTGACTGCAGAGACTTAGTGCCGGCAGTAAAGACTATGTAAGGACAACAGCTTCAGAAATCGCTATCAGTCGTTCATGCAGCTGTGTGACTATACAAGACTAAATCACCTTCGCCTTCAGGCAGTTCCAAAATATGGACGGTCAGACAGTAACACACACTTTTATCACCATACAACATTCACCTGTTTTCCACTTAATCTCTTGATCTTCTCTACCCAAACATATATATGTTAATACAACTCCTTAAGACAATAGTTTCTTTCGAATAGAACCACTGCAAACGACTAAAGTTGGGCAAACTTTACCAAATGGATGCAACACACACTGACGTTTTCTCGGACTTTTAAGTGCGGAGATAAGATTATGCTTAACAGTATAAAACTCATTGCTCCACACAATCTGATAGTCATCTCTATACTGCTTGGCTGAATGAATCTACAAATATTAGATCTGGACATGCGTGTCAATGCCTTTCTATACAACCCATGATTTCAAGATAGAAGAGCTAAAAAATATATAATATAGCGACATAAACAGGTGAGGACCTTATTTCTCTTTAATTTTAATCAAGTATACTATTTTAGGTCGGATTATTTAAAGCAATATATTACACCTCTCCAGAAAAACGAACCATTACATAAACACCTTATGTGAAAAAACATAAGTTACCTCATATACATTTACCAAACCGACTCTACAATCCAATTCTTCTCCAAATTCATCAACAAGTACACTACACAAATAGAGAAAACTTGAATGTTGTCCTCCATTTGTGTAAGCAAGCACAATCTGAAATTAGTCAAGTAATATTTCATAAAGCTTAACGTGAATATGCGAAAAAAACTGAGTATAATGTATATAAATGATTCCATTGCATGTGAAATATATGTGCTGTTTTATCGATGCGCTGATATGATGCGCTGCATGATTTTAGGTCTTTGTATTAGGCAGTTGACTATTCTCCTTATTCTAGTTCATAAGGAGACAAAGTGAGGCGAAAACAGTGCCTTAGTCTACTTTTACAAGAGCAACAAAAAAACACCGTCACATATAAACAAAATAGTCGAAACAAACATCCTCAACTTGTTGTGACACTTCATTTTCTGGTTTTTTACTAGCTTGTGAAGAGTTAAATACACCGTATACTTAAGATATATTAAGTACATAATGTGAGGTAAATACCTGTGATATCACGAGATTATTCAAATGTGGCCCATTGGTGTAGACACGTCACTATGAACAGTTTGTTGAAAACTTACTTTACCTACTACTAACTAGTTCAATAGGGGCTATCTAAAGCTTGATTTAACCTAGTATATCATGTAATAAAACAGTTAGGGCGCATTACTTTGAACAAGGAATACACAGGAAAAGGAAATATTTATCTCAAATGTTTGGATCACTGATCCGCTTCCACTCAGGGTGAAATCTTACACAAGCAGTTACTGCAAGGCATTACCGTAATATGGAAATGGATAATCAACCGTCTGAAAACTCATCACTATGCAATCTACCTAACAAAGATGAGATATCAATTTTGGTCACAAATCCACTGAAGTTAGAGGCTGTTGGAAATCAGGAAGTACTGGACAGATTTTTCGCCCTTGTTTGGGGCTTTTCAGCAGTAATCGCCTATGAACCCATCAGAGGTCAAACCCAAGGGCCCTCAGGTTACAAGACAAGCACATAAACGATTCAGCCACTAGGACAGCACCAAATGGGACATCGATTCTAGCTCCTGCCAATTTGAGATAAAGCGTGATCGCCATTCACTGCTGTCGTTGAATATCTATCGTCACACCCAACTTGGCGGACCGCGTTGCTTATCATCAGAACTTCAGATGAAATAAAATTGTGCCAACAAGTCAACCTCCACTTCGAAAAAATGATGGAGACTTAATATTATGGGTAGAAACATTCAATTTTTCAAAGTATAATTATAATTTCCCACAGCACAATTGATGTGGAGCAACTGACAAATGTTAATAAAGCAGAATTTAATGAATTCATCACATTTCAGTATATATCCATCTGAATACTTTGCACGCTGGTGTTGTGTCTACTTTAATAAATTAACCACAATGAATCAGTTAAGGCAATTAATAATCAGGATAGCAATTACATGCATACTCCCAAAAATTACAATACCACGTCTAATTAATACCGAATGAAAAAGAACAGGACGAATTACCTTTTCAGCCAGTTCTGGGAGAAGATCCCTCAGATGTACGGAAAAACAGCGCACAATAAAACGGATGAGGCGACAAACATGTTCCATTGGTCGCATGCGTGAAGCATAATGTACCATAACTCGTGTGATAACTGGCCAGATTACTTCTTTAACCAATCGTAAGCATTCAGTTAAACAATTACGGGCAGAAAGTACCATTTCAGATGTTGTGCGATTGACAGACTCGCGTTCTGTTGCAGCACTCCACTGATTAGAATTTTGACAGCCCAAACGTCGTAAAAGACAATTGAATGTGCGAAACAAAGCTGCCAAATAGTCAAGCCAAACACGTGGATCACTAGGTGTATCTGAACCTTCAATGGAAACATTTTCATCCATCAACTAAGAGATCAATGGATAAAAAGAACTATGTACGAGCATTATTGAGGGAAGTATGAATCACTTATCAAATAAATATTGAGAAGGCAATGTGAAAATTGATTTTAAAGTTTGGACGAAGGGCATTAAAAAATTAATAATATTTAAAAACAATTGAGAGACACTTTTTGTATGCATTTTGAATCATTACCCTATGAAGCACAAATACACACTCCAACTGTTAAACTAAAGAGGTTGAATATTAGTGATAAAAAATAAAAACCGCTAACCCGAACTGGTGTAAACAGAACGGCAATACAACCGACGACTCCACAAGATTTAAATTTAATACTCATGTTTCACACCACCTTGTGATATTTTTCGGCCTGTAATCAATCAAAATAATGAAAGATATCAGGGCAAGGACAAGAAACTAATCGATCACATTCATGCTTAACTAATTTGCTTAAATTACTGCTAAAAACAAATGGTAACTAATTCCCTTGAGGAAAACCTAATTTAGTTGGATAGTTGAACTGCGGTGGTTGTAAATATTAACACCACGCCTCGAAATTATTTCTGTTCGCGCAATATACACAATTATTGGGTAAAGAACAAGAAGTTCAGCACACATATATTTTCGGCGATTTCTTTCTCAAAAGCAGCTGTACAATCGCATTTATATACATTAGTTTACATGGATTCCACATAGTAACGAAGGATATAATAATTTACAAATTGATATGAAAGTTTGAAGGTACGAATATAGATCACAATGGGCTTAGAAACAAGATTACAACATATGCAAAATCAATATTTGATAACTGGAGAAATAATTTTAAAGGCGAATGAAAGGTGATAATTATTTTCAACTTGATATAAGTATAAAACTTGGGCACTGTGGTAGAGTATAGCTCTATTAAGGATGAGATTTTATTTTGATAAATCAGTGTTATACAGTAATATTAACTGATGACATTTTGAGCACAAACTATTGCTCATAATCTTATCAAGTTGATATGATTATGAGTAATAAATTACTGGTGCGAGTGTCTAAGCTAAAAGAAAATTTGAGCAAAGAATATTTTCGATAACTTTCTCTTCCAGCTCTATAAATGTGTATACATACACAAAATATTCCAGAATAACCGCTATTAGTGTCTCCTCTTCTATGTGCATCTACTAATTTCACTGTTCCTGTGGAGCCAGTTACATGGACCGTACAATTAGGCGTGTTTATGGTGGGATTTCCGAACACCGGCTAGCATAGTGGTTAAGTAGGGGACAAACAAAATCCATTCATAGTCCTAAACTGTCTCACACAAAATTAATGTAAACAATGCCTCCAAAGTCATCTCTCATACACCAACTAGGCTTAATTTTACCTCAACACTTCGTCTACTACATAGTCCGATAGTCACTGAATGCACTTTTCATACTAAATATTATAGAAGAATAACAACAGTTACCTTAGATAAGCATTCTAAACTGACGCTGCATATCTGTGCAACTCTCATTGGGAAAGCTTGTCTGGACTGTAGAGGATCAAGTTCAACATTCCCACTACCTGTTCCTATTGAACATATAAGACCTCGTCCAATACCGGAGAAAAAATGAGTGGCATCATGTAGAGGAACCCAGGCAAGTCGTGGCAGATTGTATGCAACTCGGTTAACCAAATCCTGCCAGTGTTCATCAATTAGAGCGAGACGCGGAGGATCAGAGTTATTGGTTGGAGAAGATAAAACGTCCCCATTGGGTGTAGATGTCGGAGTTGTACGATAAATAGCACACAGAGAACCCAGAGCTGAGACAGCTGCTTCAACAGCAAGCTTTTGACCAGGCTAAAATACAAAAATAAAAATAACAAGCTAACAAGACGAAGAGCACATTTCTACAAGAATGATATTAGCCTAAGAGAAGATAGAAAACCTATGAGAGCAAATATTTTTAAAACAAGTTGAGGAAAAAAGATTTAGACTCAGTTGGAAGTTATCAGAAACATTTAAGAATCAATATCTTTATAACTTCTCACATAACTACTACTGAATGTTGTTACCACAAATATTTATTCCAGTTAAGTACATAACTACTAAAGTCAAAACCACGTAATTCATTGATACAGCGTAATTATTGCGATCAGGCAGAATTATTAATACAGTGCATACTGCATAAAACAGTTCACTTATCAAATGAGACTAATAAGTAGAATTCCTCCAAATTTATTGTTGAAATTAACTACATGTAACAACAAATGATATCAACATACAATGATAACTTTTAACTATGTATGCTTCCGTAAGAAAACAATAACTGATCAGAAACATTATTACTCAATATTCAATTCGTAATAGATGATAGTGGTAGTGGATTTTTCAGTGCACAGAAACGCTGTGAGCTGAAAACACCATACAATAAACTCTAAGATCCATACTAAGGGACAAAATAATTCAGAAATTTACCCAGGATACAATATTGTTGACTGCTTTCTTGAAGTTAGTCATTTCTTCTACCTGCACTAATGAGTACAATTTTTCCCCAAAAAGAGATCATGATTTCACAATCACAAAGTTTACTTCAATAAAAATGAAGATCAAATCACATTAAGTTAAATTGTGACCGTTTTGACGTGTGCACACGACAATTCATTAGAATAGAAACAATCAACACTAAAAAAAAACCAACTGTTGTAGAATTGTCCGCCCACGCACAAAAGATATGTATATATGCATATATATTATCCACACAGCTCGTGTACTTGTTCTGTGATATATACCGCCCTAGCGTATTATAATAAACATCAGTTTGCAGTCTGAGCAACTGACCTGTAAACACTGAGGTTCAACACCGGCAGCTTTTTCAATTATTTGTATTAGTTGGTTAACAATTTGACGACGAAGATTGGGATGACAGGCAGCCCAGTGAGCCAACTCCATATACAACATGCAACCAACTTCTTGAAGGGGAGGTGGACATGGTCCTGAAAGACCTGGGAGAACCAGCTTCGAGATAAGGTTTGATATATGTCCCTCAGGATCATGAGGAGATAGACGTTTGGCGACTGTAGTTAACATAAACAGACATGCCTCAGATTCACGAAGTACTTCATATGCTGACGCCTGTACATTCGCAGATACAGCTACCATTTGTAACTTTTGAACATAATTGTACAGCTAGAAACGGAAGATTGCATCATTACATTATCAGGTATATCCAATGAAATATACTTGCATATCAGATAAAATGACAGCAGAAATACAAAGACTGAACTGTGGGTAAACCACTAAAAGGTAGCTGTAAAATCAATGCAGAAGAAAGCATCATGACTCTTCATTTCATAAAATTCTCTGTTTGATGGACTCGAACAAAGCATGATAACAAATTCATTCCTCCGAACACTAATAAAGGGATAAAAGGAAAAGTGAGTATATTATGCGATCGATTGCTGTTAGCAGTCCAAATTTATGTGTATTCACAATGTTTTCTTAAAACCGAATGCACATTTCAGAGCTAGTTCGAATTTTCATGAGTTGTCCTTATTTACAACACAAACTAGATACAATACAGACACTGAGGGACGCTAATTTAGAACAAAGTAATTTATCTCAAACCTGAGGTTATATTAACACAATTAATAACTATGATGGCTAAAAATGACTTACAATCCAGTGACAAATTTGAAGTGTTCAGAGAATCCAGTGGTAGATATAAGCCAAAGTGAAACCTATGTATAGAGAATATATCACTACTAAGCATAAGCTTCAAAAGATAAGTGTGGCAATAAACCAAAGGTCTATATATACTGCCTTGCTGTCTTAGCCCCGACAGGTAGTGGTACTTCTGAATTGGTTGAATTGTATGATGCCGTGACCAATGAACTACAACACATATGATAACACATTCATCTGCTACAGAATGCTGAGTATTTTCATACTAACTTTTCTTATAAGGAGTAAATAAGCAAAAATATAGAAATTAAGATATAAACTTAATAGAATAAAATTACTTCATAACTTCGAATGAGCATGCACAAATATTAAATTTAATAATCTAAGGAGAAATACAAAAAGATATGCTTACTTCTACAAAAACAGCCTCAGCTCCAACTAAACCAAGAATATCTTGCATAAGATCATGAACATCTTCTCTAAAATCCCTTAATTCATCTGTGCTTTCCAAATCTGCTGTATTGCTTGGACAGTAATTAGTTAATGCCACCACAACACGAGTAAAGTAGGGTATCAAGGCTGCAGATGGACGAGTAACGCCACCAGAAGAATTAGAATTGTTGATAGAATTGGAAGATTCTAAAGCTCCTTTGCTTAGAGATCGGTGCTTAAAATACAAAAACGTAGTGCATAAATAATTGCAGAGTACAAAATATAAACAATAATGGAAATTGTAGGGAAATATATAGTTCAGATGTACAACGAATAAAAACGACAACCTGATATAAAGGATGACTCAACCTATAGAAATGTTATCTTTTTCCTTTTATTTCTCATCCACACTAATCACCGACTTGTGAGCGCTTAATGCCTTAGAATAAAAAGCTCACATACTATTTACACCTTTTTCAAAGCGATATATGTTGATGACTTTAACTTCTTATAATACTCCTCTCCTTCCATTCTGTTTCGAGTAAAATGACCAGCACTATGTAAAAGATGTAATTAAGCATCAACAGACGCCCAAACGACGTATAATTTCTGTTTATGTGCCTTGGCGTGGAACGTGTCGTAGCCGCCTAAAGCACTGCAGCTTCACAGCGTCATCAACTGACTTTACTTTTTTTCTCAATGCCTTACGCCTACCTCCGCTATCCATCATAGTAAAACCCCTACAGCCGGAGAACGATGGAAGGAATCTATATGAATACTAAGGATTTATGTAACATGATAGTATGTTATACTAGCAGCATTAAAATCACGAGGTTTATCGCTTCAAATGTACTTTTATTCAAAGTATATATGGAGTGAAGTCGACTCCCCTTTAATGACAACCAACACTAAATATTCTCTTAAAATATAATCAACCTGTTGGCACATTACGTAACACACTCTAACTATTTTTAAGTACTAAAACATTTACTGGATGTAAATGGAGGAAACAGTCACCGAAAACACTATAATGATGGATATACTATGTAACACAAATTCATATTAACTCACCCGGCTTGCATCATCGGCCAATGAATGTAAAGCATGGAAAGTAATAGATGCTAACTCACGACTACCAAGAGGAGGTGGTACTTCAAGGATTACAAGAATGCACTCCATTGTCCGCAAGTCCCCTAACCCACCAGATCCAGGACTACTAGGTTGATCCACTAGAGGAGGTCGTAAAGTTCGGGCAAGTGATGAGAAAATATGAGCCAAACAAGTGCATCGATCCTTATAAAGTTCAAGTTGTTCCTGTTTTTGTAATGGTCCTGCAGCAGAAGCGATCTTATTCGAACATTCTTGAATAACATCAACTAAACTGTAAATATTTTCTTGTAACCAGCGCAGTAAATCACTATTTGCATTGCTCATTTGCTGACAGTACGATAAACCAAATAAAAGATAAAATGTATCAATGTAACATACTGTACAGACTGCCGTTTATGAAGTGAAAGAGCAAACAGTCGTAACACAGAAATTATTTACATAAGGGAACTACACTGACAGCAATAAGTCGTAGAGAGTGGATGCTGAAAACCTCCTTCACGAGAGGTCTAAAGGGTAAAACACTCCATCCGAAAAAGAAAATATTTACCAAAACTTGCAGTATTGGATACAAAACACATTCAACGTTTGCGTCTTTAGAATTACTGTAGGAAAAAGACATTAAGATGGCTAGATTAAAATATGGCAACCTTGGTTTATGCCTGTGAAACCTCTCCGAGCTGAGTACGTGCAGCAACTCTTTATATTAGGTTATCGTTGCCTCTGTAGAATTGCTTGCGTCTGACAGTCTCATCGTGTTTGTAATTCTGATGTCCGGTAGTGTGTTTGGGAACGGTAGAGGGTACCATTCATCGAATGTCGTCATCTGGAAACACCGGTCTCGGTAGCTTAGATATGTGCTACGAATGTCATTGCAGGGGGCCTCCATACTGGTCTCTGTTCGCTAGCCTTTGAGCAACTTTTGATGACCATACTGTGTCAAGTTTGTTTCAAATAAATCAAGCCATCATAATGATAATCGACAGTAGCCTAATAATACAGCTTTGATACCTCAGGGTAAAAATTTTAAAGCGACTATGTGAAGCACACTAGACTTCTTTTAGACAAAATCAAATTTCGTTACAATAACAATCAATTCCAACTTTTATGTATTACTTCACTGCAGTGTATTTCTGTTACCTACTCAACCATCACTGTCTTAAGCGTAATCCACACAACATTTAAGTCCACTGCAAGTTCAAATAATTTGCCTTTAGAGGACAACACAAAAATAACCAATTAAATAAGCAGTGCTAATATTAATGAGTCCTATATCCATCACATTATAAAAACAAATATACCAAGGTGTTAGGTATTTCAAACGAATATAAAAAAGTGGTTAATCGACAATGGTTAAAAGTAATTCTGAGACTACACCTCTGCCGACAGTTAAGTACGCCACGCGACTCACATTCAAGCCGCTTTATACGGAAGGGACTTTGAAACATGTAACTTATTCTAAACATTTATACAATTATTTCTCTTCATAAGCTTGAACAAGACAAGAACACATTGGGCCTACCTTGCATTGATATAAAAGTGCTAGGATCCACTGAGAAGCCGCATCAAAAGTTGACTCCGGCGTAGAAGAAGGATTTCGTAAAATAGTAAAGGCAGTATTTAACAATGGATCCATTGGAATGTCTTGCTCAACCATAACACCTGTGTTATCCCACCAACTTGCGAGACAATTGTAAACTTTAGCCAGAATAGTCATTTGTTCTGATTTCGCCCTGTGGGACTAAGAATAAAATCAAAACAATTAACATCACTTAACTTGAGAACCTGAATTATTACGAGTAGTGGACAGCATGAAAGTGTTTATCTTAAATTCCACGTACTTCATATTATGAGTCAACGGAAAATAAAAAATAAAAGCAAGTTGCAGGGCTATAATTGAATTTAACACAGTGATATGTTATTATTTTCTGCAACAGAATAAATGCAAATAAAGTATAATTATATTTCAATAGTTTACACACAATGATAAGTTTTGTTATTGGTAATATTTCGATCAAAATTACTGCCCGTGTTCAAACCACTGTTGGAATTGTTGCACTTTCCTACATTGAAGACTTAATCAGCCAATCAGTTTGTCTATTTTGGATAAACGCAGTGCTGCTCTACAGTACGTGAGTTTTACCTTTGAATTTCTATCGGTCTTACATAAATTATGACAGACAACATTAATGTACAAGAATCGACTCTATGAACTCTAAAACCTGAACATGAGTCATTTATTACCAAAAGTCCTCAGTATCTACATTTATACATGGACTGTTGTACCATGTGACCTAAATTTGCGTTTCATTTAAATATAATACTCAAAACCCTAAGAAGTGCAAGGAACACCAAACGATTTACATCACTACGCCGCAGGCACCAGTTACTTTCTCGATACTCTCCTCCAGTATAGGAGCAAAACTGCACATACGAAGAATAGTTGCTTAGTATGAACTTCATTCATTTCATACAGACGAACGCCGTGGAACAAACCACAAAGTAGCTGTGACAAGGACAACACACAATCTACTTCTCAATAATATCCCGAACCGGCTAATTTCAGTGCAATACCTCCACTGACAGATTTGTATCGTGTCAACCCGTGCCGAAAATGAAGAGATACTTATTAGCGTGGAATAGTGCTGACAGTTTTAGAACAAAATTATCCTATAAATTTACACACTGACTGACAGAAAACGGTACATAGCAATAGATTACACTTTGAATTATCCAAAAATGAGTCTCCAAAGCGACATACCAAACATACATTTCAATGATGACTGAATACATAAACTCAGAGCATAAGGTCTCCACTTCGATTTCTTTGACAACGATGATATCCTCCTAGCATTGCGTTCCGCACTAGTTATATTTAATCGACTTTGGTTTTCCTTTTTTTTCCTTCACTTTCCTCAGTGGAACATAGGGTTTCAAGCTAGTGGTTTGAAGTTTCTGTAGAAGTGTTTATTTTACAGGATGAGGTTGCTAGCCTTATACCCAACCTTTCCTCTTTACCAGCAGTACTTCCGGTTTAGCGAGGTAAAAAGTGCATCGGCCGGGATCGAACCCCTGGACCATGTGCATGGTCGGTAAGCGTCCTAACCGCTATGCCACTGATGCATTTGGTTTCCCTTTAGTGCGTGTTAATACCTCGTTTACACGTCAAACAACACATTATGTTTAATATTCCCTTTTAAACAATAATCTAGTTACTTGGTTACAACCCAAAAACATTTGACTTATTAGCTTTTTGGCTATAAGACTTCCATTACAAGAACTCCGTCATATGAGACCACGATGACGTAAAATTTGTCCTACTCACTAAACAATATTAGACCGACTCTATATCTTGAATTAAGTGATATCATATTAAACGACTTTTTATCTTGAAATAAAGTGAGTCTTATTAAGTTCAAGGGGAATTAATTTTGTATTGATAGCCTCTTGTATCTGTCTCTGTCTGGATTCAACATAGAACTTGGCACCATGTATCATGGATAATACAGTTGAAATAGGTGTAAAGGGATTCGAGTGCTTAAGCTAATGAGCTAAATTTTCACATTTGAGAAGCACAAATAGAGTAAGATGTTACATGTAAGCTGAAACTTAGTAAATTCTGGTTTACTAATACTTAGGTAAAGCCATTACCATTAAATAGAGGAACATCAGTAAACACAATATTCTTTCCTTTCTTATTAATTGGGAAATACAAAATCTTTTATGATAATGAATGAGATAGAGTAATTTAGTTATGTTTTTGGGACTTTTAAACGGTTCTGAACACACGTAAAGTTAGATGTGATTTCATTAGAAGACTAAAATCTGCGTATTTATGCAGCGACCACCATTCATTGGATGTGTTAGATCAACGTAAACGTAATTAAACACATATCTACAACAGTATCTACAACTCATTACAAGTGGAGAAATACATTTAATTTAATTCATTCCTACCTTTATTAATATCAATATTCTAAGTTAACCTCTTTTACAGCTGTGCTACTTTGTAATATGAACTTACATTTAGTTGAAAACAAATATGAAGGTTCGTTATTACTTATTCTGAAGCACTATAAAACAAATCAAAACTCTTGTGGACATATCTAACTAATTCAGGGAAAGTAGCAACCCAAGATTTCCCTGGTGTGGTCACCATGATACACATCTCGTCGACACACTGCTAGACATGGAGCTCGCGTGAGGAGGGAATGAAAGCTTACGGGTGCACGTGGAGCCAGGCTGTGGAGTACCGAGTGAAATTAAGATGTGTTGTTGAAAGTTTGATGCAGCAGCAGTTCATAGGAATAATAAATAATATTAAAATTGGCAAGTCGTAGAGCTCAGAGGTTCAAGTCAACGATACGAAAATTGATATGGAAGTATGAGTTTCCATATTCGTACGTGCACTGTTTACAGAAAAGTGTGGGTACATAGCATAAACGATATCCTGATGGAAACAGAAGACCCCCAATGAGTCGTCAAGTGCTTAGAAGATGTTTAGAGGCTCAGTCTCAGTTATTTATACCTACAATAACATATCCAGACTTCAGTAGTGAAAAGAAACAGCATGAACAAAAATTTTCCAATAAGAATTAGCAACAAAATTTCTTCAAACCTATCAATTACCTACCAAAAACTCCATCACAAAGCGTTTACTCCCCTCAAATTGACTCATAAGTGCATGTCGGCGGTTCATCCCCAATCTAAGCCTGCTGCTATTCATCTGCAAGTACATCAGAATAATATGCCCCATACCTCCTCAGGGATAAACTTCAAAATATCAATTAAATAACCACAGGATACATCCGTACACGACAGTCTGGAAGTAAAAGTTACGCTCAATCTTTATTAATACTTAGAAATGATATCTTTAATCCCGTCCTGCCACTGCACCATGTGACAGAACAAGTCTGCCACAGCCAGGCACAGCTGGTTCGCTATTGGCAGACTGGTATCTTCAGAAAGCTTGCAGACGTGCTGAAGTAGTGAATTCTTTAACCCCTATAACTAAAGTGAGTGGTATTCCAAAACATACTTCATGTGAGTCAGCAGGTAATTCAGAGAAGTGGCATTGTATCTAAAATACTGATAAAAAATTCTTTAATGTACCTTTTTCCGTATAGTCTGAGCTCCGAAGTAACAGGAGTTTAAGTCTCGTTTCATATATAACAATTGGTCAGATATTTCCCAAGCGTAAACCTAAAGATATTATTTACTAACAGTATATGAGTTACCGATTTTTGGAACTCACATAGCCACTTTGAAGCTTGTTCTTTAACGCATGAATCTGGATTCATATACAGTGAATCGATTGCGGAGAGAACAGAATCCACGGACAAGCCTCGAATGTCCATCACCCTGCTTATTTGGCTTTGAACTACGTACGGCCTTAATTTGACACCAATATCTAATGTCCAATGTCCAATTTCCCTTCTGCAAGCTAATAGAAACTACATTGATTCCATGACTATTGCTGCTTAGTGATGAAGAATTGTTTCCAGATTCAGAAAGACGTGCTTATGATCAGTGCTCCCACTTATTGCAATTTGGATACACGACGTGTCAAGTTTGTGTTTTACGTCAAGACAGTGATGTCGTTGTGATCGCAGAGCAAAGCTGATTATCTGAAACAGCATGGCAAGTTACCGCATGATGTTAGGATTATAGGATGTCATAGGTTAGAACATTGTGTCGCTCTAAAAGATATGCTAATGTGAATGGATGCAATTCATTATTCTGTAGAGCTGCACGGAAGCAACCTGACAGCCAAGAGTGAACACATGCAATAAATACACTCCAGGTCTGGTTTAATGAGGAAGATGTCACGATGAACACTGTCAAATGCCTTTACGGAACCGAAAGTCATCACGAGGAATAAAACGTCCATTTTCTAGTACCATTCCACACAGATAGTATGTTTGCTGCAGAATCTACCTTTCGGATGGTCAAGGAAATTTCTTCTATTCAGCTGAAATTTCTTCCCAATAGATCAACATATTTGTATATTCTGATTGGGAATGAAGAATGAAGATTTCGAGAAGTTGGTCTTTAAATGAGTGAGTACTCTACTGCTTCACTGCACTGATTTGATGCAATTTTACTAAATGCCAATACATCTTACCATTACTCCGCCCACTGCTTGGCTCAGTCTGCAGGCCAGATGGCACCAAACGAAAGTCCTAAGTTGGTGTAGTTAGCTTCTTTACGATACCGCCCATATGAAGAATCGAAATACTATGGGCGATCATAGAAAATACTAGATTGAAATAATGGTTGCTGAAATTTACAGGGATTTTTATTTAGTCACTACTCATGGTGTCCACAGTTTTTGACTAATTTCGACCAGAATCGACTAGGACGCACCAGAATTCTGTTCGCACCAGCAACAACTGCACATGTTTGTAGACCATATGGGGTCTTTCTGGTCCTCATGATGCCCAGCCATCGCAAACGAGACGTAAATCCTTCGCTTTCAAAACAGGGGCCTTAGTCTGTCAGTATTGTGTTTGGTACGCCTTGGTCTGCAACAATGTTTCGAAGTTGTACATTTGTCACAGTCCTTGCGCGTCTTCTGTCATACCTAGCCATTACCTACATCGTCTTAAGAAGTGGGTTGTTCCTAACACCCCTGTATGTGCTAGCTAGTGAAATTCTGGTGTCGCCCCGTTAAGCATTTGTGTCATTTGTTGATAATAATAATATTAATGTATATTTTCATATAAACATAAATTTACATGAGAATGCATGCCACTTTTACTGGCACGATCAAGTATGATATAATATCAAATCGTAGATTGTTCGCAAGTTAATAATGCTTAAACAGATAAATATTTGATGCGTATATATAAATACACTTGTCAATATAGTTGAAGATTGAACGATCAATTCATGGTTGCTTGCTCAAAACCAACTTCCCCAATTTTCGCGGAGGCATCAATACGACAGTCATCGTCTCATCGGTCGCTGTTCAGAAAGAAGTCAGCAGAAAACCGTCAGAAGTAATATTGTGATTTATTATTGTAATATTTGTTCACAGACCTTAGTTGTAACAGTGTTTATATGTTGGTGTTACAATAAAGAATCCTCGAGTCGCCAATTGGTCTTTTGGTTTTTCGTCCGTTATTACTAAGCGTTTCTGAGAAACTTCAAGGAACAGCGTGAGTCCGAGTGCAGCCAGAGCTGGGCATTAACGGTTTATGAGACCTGGCCGACAACACTCATTGTCTGAACCAGGCCGTATAGTTATTAGATTGTAAAGTTGTTCTTCAGGTTGCGCGGGAAAATCGACTTCGTTTCGTTTCCAACCCATGGTTGTAGACATAAGGAAACCAACCAATAATAAGGTAAGTACACGCTTACAAGGGATTGAAAGCTGTTTTAGAAAAGTTAAAGTGCTAAGGTGAATAATTAAATTGTAATGGTATAAGTAAGTGCAATATATCATTGATAAATGCATTTATAAAGGAAAATCCTTAGGCTGACCACGTTCATTTGCAATGTATAATGCTACCCATATATGCCTTACTATCATGATGTCCACTTTTGGTTTTAACACATTTATCCTCATGCCGGTTTTTTATTTTATACCTTTTTGTGCATTGGATGCACAACCGTACCCTACAGAGAATAGGAATAGAATAAGTCGAATCAAATTCATATAGAGCTATAAAATGTTAGGTTTAATGTAATGTAATGAGGATCAAGTAAAGACGTTATTAGAAAATGAATGAGATAAGACATTGTGAAGTGGTATTTAAAGATCTGACAATGGACAGCAAGTTAATTTATAAGATGCCTCATAAATCTGTGCAGAGCCCACGTGGTCGCATCTCAACAATAGACTGAGCGAATAATATATATTGAAAGGAATTTTCAGCATTCAGTACAATATTGCATCTAATTTACCCAAAAACGACAAAAAAATTAAAAATACACAATACATAATAGTAATAAAACGATTGTTGTAGGAGCTATGTAGCAAAATACTGTGTGCCATACGGAGAAAAATATGTATAAAGTACAAAATTGTAGTAATAATAGTAATACCAACTAATATAAAATAGCAGAGTAACGATTTAAACGATAGAAAGTGTAACACCATAAAATACAGAAAGATGAACGATAAAAGAAGCATGATCTGTCAAGGCGTTCGTTATTATCTTTTTCAAGATAAAGATTTAAGCTCTCATAAAAATCAGAAAAATCTTGAGCTGTCGAATCGCATGTTGATGGTCGAGCAGCTGTTTAGTTCTGTCGAATGTCCTCAGTGACTCGTCCGACCGCACAAACTACGGATCAGCTGGTAGTCCATAAAGACGGGCTGGTATCCTATTTAAGTTCATCACGAACCGACCGCAAAATTCCGGCCTACCCAAGAACTACCAAACACTTTCTCTTTGAATTCGCAACCGGAATCCTCTTTTTCATCAAGATTTTCTGCGGTAGAGCTTTAATCCCACCACTTCCCACTTCATGTCCACAATGAGTACTATTACTTTTGGCTACCTGAGACTTCATTTTGCTGCCACGCAGTCCAAACTCTACGAGGCGTAGCAGCACAGCTTCCGCATGGTTCACATGGTCGCTTTCGTTTCGACTGTAATTATAATATATTTTTTCCTGTTTATGCAGGAACATACCAATTTTACAGGCATGGATAAGTTATTACATAAATTACACATAATTTGATGTATGATGAATTTACAGTTTTGTTGTTCCCTCTGAAGTGAGAGTCAGTTGGAACAGTCTGCTATAAAGTCTGTTTGTGTAGCACATAAAGAGATATAGAAATATTGTCTTCGCATTAACAAAAGCCAGACATCAGATGAATGTAATACGGATATCTGGGAAAAAATGCTTGAAGTCAATTCTCTTATATAACTTTGTTGTGAACAGCACCCTTGGCTTAAAGTTTATTGATGTATTATATTGAGATCAGTGATATATTTATTCCATTTTTCAGCAGTCTTATCGTAGTTTTATAACAGGAAAGAAATTTGATCGTGGATACGAAAACTAGATAAGGTCATGTTAAGTTGTTTTACTGCATCAAATGGTGCCGAAGTCGTTTCCAGAATTCTCCATTTGCTCCGTTTGTGTCTGCATGGCGGACTGTATTCGTAAGTCCAGAAGAATGTTGAAAACTGTTTGAAAACCAGTTGCTTCTTCATTCCAGGTCATGAATACTCATTTAAAGCATGTTAGCCAGCGTCTTCAAATGGTGGAATTGGATCGTTCATGGAATTTGAGTGGTTATGAGATAGACGGTTTGGAATTAATCCTCATTACAGTTTAGATGCATGGTTGTTCGAACTCGACCAGAAGATGAATAGGAGCAGCAGAATACCAGAAAGAAAAAGTATGTGAACATGAAAAGACATTTAATATTTCATGCATATACAAATGTTTAGTCAATTGTATATTATAGTTTAGTAAATAGTTATCTAAATTGTAGTTGTCTTTTCACGTATTTATGCGAAGTCTTAGAGTTTATTTAGTGTCATTGTGGGTATTAATTAGTCTGAGCGTTTTAGTGTTCTAATGACTGATGCATTTAAGAAATATGTGATGGGTTCTGGTAGGGATAGTCATTGAGATAAAAGCTTATATAGAAAGCGTTTGAAGGTTACAATAGAGTGACAGGTCCTATTTCTAAGGGTAAACTATTCCTGTATGTTCCGTACTAAGTCTTTATGCATCCATGCTGTTAGTTTATTTATAGTTTTTAGATTGCTAAGGGTGTTGAAGTGCGTCTTTTAGGTGCTGTAGTAGGTTAGTAGTTGATTCGTTCTAGGAGTAAATAGTTTATTAATATAATCAGTAGAGTAAAACAGTCTGTATAGAGAGCGTTTGAAGCTTGTAACCGAAGAGCAAGTTCTGACATCTAGGGGAAGGCTGTTCCATATTTTAGAATACATGACTGTGAAGAAGTTTTACGGAGTGCTGGCTTAAAAGAATGAGTTGTCACTGTGGAAGTTTGGTTACGCAGATGGTAAGAACCTTCCTGTGCGAATTGTATGTCCCTGTTACCTGAGAATGATATTTTGTGAAGGACCTTAAAGAAGAATATTAGGTTTATAATAAGTCGCCTTGTCCAAAGTGGGTCAAGTTTTAGTATCATGCACCGTGAGATGTAGTCTTTCTTACAATCGTAGCCAAGTAGTTTTGAGGTAAAATATCGTTGGATACTTTCCATGCTTAGCTTATCGCGTGTGCGAGTGCTGCTTATAATAAATGGACAGTATTCTAGTAGTGGTCTGACACATGTTTTGTACAGAATTAGCTTGGCTTCATTGTCGTGAAAGTTCCTGAGTATGCATCCTAAGAGCATCCTCGATTTTCTAGTCTGTGATAT